TGAGCAAAATAGCTATGAAATATTTAAGTGCCCCAGCATCTTCCATTGAAAGTGAAAAAATTTTCAGCATTGGAGGTAACATTTATGAGCCGGCAAAAAATAGGTTATGCCCTGAAAATGGTGAAATTCTCATGTTTTTGCATTACAATTTAAGGGTTTTACAGTTTGAATATTAAATTTTTATTTGTTTTATATGTTTAAAGTTTAAACTTATAAAACAAATAAAAATTTAATTTCTCTTCTTAACATATTCAATACTCTCTTTTTTATTTAAAGTTTAAACTTTATACAGTATTATACGTTATATTATACTTATAATATGTATCGATGAAAGGAATAATTTGAATTGTAAAATTTTTTTAATATTCAGTTTGTCATGTAATAAATAATAAATATATAACAGAAATTTATTAGGTTTTATTACTAGCATTGTACGTAACATTCTAACAAAAATACCAAAATGTAAAATTGGCCGATTATCGAAATCGATTAATCGGGGAAATGGCCGATACCGATTAATCGGCTAAGTGGCCGATACGACCGATTACCGATTACTTACCGATTAATCGGTGCATCCTTATAAAATAGTACAGTAGAAGCCGTTCTTCCGGTTAAGCCTTAATGCTCTCCCTCTCCCCCAACTAGAGAATTTCGAAAAATCCCTTCTTAGTGCGCGTTTCCATGACGTACCCTGTGTACTAAATTTCACCTCTTCAGGTTCAGCAGTTTGCCCTGGGCGATGATGAATCAGTCAGTCAGGACAAGTAATTTTATATACTGTATTTAGATTGCAAAACTATTTTCTTTATTAATAAAGCCTTAAAAGATAGAGAAGGCATGTTAAGAATCAAATCATATAATTGCCATTAGAAAATTTCCGGGCTGCAATTTTTAATCATAATTTTAAAAAATCACGTAACTTCCGGCCCAGAAGGGAAGTTCTTATATACTTAATCGGGACCTCCTGCCCGTAAGTTTTCCATATCTGGTCTCGACTTTCATCTAACTCCGTTCTCGAGATTAAGGAAAGACGGACGGGCAAATGACAGTGGGAATTTTTAAGTTAGGATTTTTTCAAATTGCAGCCCGATTATTCAACTGTCAATCATCTGAACATTTGATAGAAACCGCTAAATAATTAGATCTAAATTGACTGAAAAATTGCTCCTAAACATGGACAATTAATGAGTCAAAAGACTGGCGAGTAGCCACAATCATCACCATTTGCGTTTGAAATATTGTATCACACCAATAATATTGTATCAGATTCCAATGCTGGTTAGCAAAACTAATTAATTAAAATTAAAAATCGCGTTATATTTAAATAGCAGAGAAATGAAGCGACTGTACAACTTTCCTCGCTACTTTTCAATTAAATCCACTTCCCTAATCAGTCTCATTCTGCTCCCATTTTTCAAACTTTGCATTGCATGTGCCACCATGTGAGGTAATGCCAACAAAGTTTTGTGCTCTTAAAAAATACTTCAATCGAAATTATATACTTACATACTTAAATGAAGAAATTCTTTTCAACACCACTGAACATGGTAATGGTCTTAGGTTTGCACCTCGTCAACAGACTGGAGTTTTCCAGGATTCTTCACGTTTGTAACACCTAAATAGGGCCAGTTTCTTTGTTTTCTGGTTGGACTCATTTATATATTTCGTCACTAGTGACCGTATGGTGCCAATCTAATTCAAATAGCTTTCTATAGTATATTTTTTAAAAAGCCTCTAGTCATCTTCTGGCTTCCTTGTAAGAAACTCATGCCTCAAAGCCATATAGTATACTACTAAAGATGCATGTATCCAGGATTTTTAATTTTGCTTTTATTGCCATGTCAAATTCTCTAAGATTGACTGATCCGGACACAACTCATGACAACAGAAAAAATCCTAACTACACTCAGAATTGTAAGCATTAGTGAGTTTACTGTAGTCTAATTAAGATTAATTAGCTCAAGAAATTTATTAAAATTTGAAATGGAATAAACTGAAAGCGTATATATATACGCTTTCTATATACATATACATATATACATAGCGTATATATATACACACGCTTTGAGTTTATTTTGTTGTATGTATGCAAAATTCTTTACATAGGAATTCAGAGATGTTTTGAAGGGGTATTTCATCTTTCACCTTTTCCATTAAATGCATTCAATGATGATAACTTTTACACTACATCAGTGTCATTAGAATTATTGCAGGGAGTCATTTAAAATGTTAAAAAGTCAGCAATGAGTTGCGTAAATTTCCCGGCAACATTTAAAACTGAGGATGTCACCATCTGTTACGATATTTTAATTATTGTAAAATATTATACTCAAAGATTTTTCAATTATAAATTTTTCAACATTTACTTAGTTTTAATTGGAATCTTAGGTTCTATTGCATTTTACATTTGTAAACCATAATATAAAATTTGGTAACTTCATATTAAAATTTTTATTTTAGTGGTCTTTAATACCTTGTTAATTACTATAAAGAAAACAAATTCTAAATAGTAGAAGAAAAATATAATTTATTTTAATATAATGAAAATGATTGAGTAATTGTCAGTTTTAATCAAAACATGGCTATACAAATATCTAATAAGTTACTTAATAATGAGGGGAAAGAAATGTTAATTTTGAAACCTGAACAAAAATGAGGCAGATGCTTTAATTTTTCCATTATCCGTTGCAACACATCTGCCTCTGAATTATGGTCATTCTATATCTTCTGGTCTAACAGGATGAGACAATGGTATAACTGATTTCTTATTCACATCGCGTGATAATGCTTTTCTCATATCTGCAAACATAATATGTTTAAATTAAATACTGTAATCATATAATAATCAGAATATAATATGAAAAATTGCTTATTAACAATACATTTTGAATGAAATTTAAGAACTTGTTATTAAACAATTTTGACAAACTCCAAAGATGTGCATAAGTTTTATATAGTCAAACCCCATTATTAAATTATCAGTTTATGCAAATTTCGTTTAGGTGCAAAGTAGATTTGCAGTTTCATGGATGAGAATAGGCATTTAAATGTTAATGAGTTTGGTTAATATGTAAAACAAGCATATAATAATCCCATGAGTTATATAACAATTATATTATGTTCTTCAATACAAAGCACACTGCTTCCAGATTCCCCAAAGTCACATATTCAAGCCATATTGTGACTAAGAGAACATTTTTACTTTAGTGTTAGTCATAATGCTTATGACAATAATGTATCATTGTTGGTAGCACATTTTACACCACAGTAACAATGCTCACTCTGATTCAAAAAATAATAGTTTCTCTTATAGTTGGTACTTGGTACTCTTTAACATTGCTGAATGATTTGTTAAGACAGTTAATATTAGTTATTCAATTTGTATAGAATAGTTAATTTATTTCAGAAGGATGATCAAAACAGATGACATTCTGAAACATCTACAATGTTCAATGATGTTCTGTTTGAGTAATTCTAATAGTAGACAGAATTTAAATATTAGCATCCACTAATGGACCTCTCCTTTTCTCTCTCTCTCTTTTATTTTTAACTATTGATATCAGTCAACATCCTTCCCCAGTTGCCGATCGTGTAGTGGAAACCAGAATTTAATAGAATTGAGAGATTTTTTATTAAAAACCAGTAGTTTTATAAAAAGTTCTTATCTATGTTGAAACTGTGCCTTTTTGTAGACTGTGTTTTGAGAGACCTTGAAGTGTTGCTATTAGACTTTTTCACATCTACTTTATTCTCCTATGTACAGTACACTACTTTGCAGTCTTTAAACTAATTGTACCAATACATTTCCGTACATTCAAGGTCTTTTTTGAAGAATTAAGTACAATATTTGGTACGTTCAACATAAAATTAGCCCCCATTTATAAAAAAATTACAAAACTAAGTGATTAATCATAAATCTGAGATTAAGAAAAAGATATAGGTGAAATAACAAATGTTGTATATTCTATCCCATGTACCCCAAATGTATATTCATTTTTATCTCTCCTATGTAAATTTGAGAATTATCATAGGTACTACGATAATTCTCAAATTTACATAGGAGAGAAAAAAATGAGTTGGGTTAAAAGAATATATTGCTGATTTAAAATACAATAGAATTACAGTAGAGTGTCGATTATCTGAATGTCGATCAACTGAAAGCGTTCCAGTCGGACTGTGTTGTGCTGAATCAAATGTTTTTGATACTAGATTAACTTCTGAAGTATAAATTTTTTTGTTTTTATATATTTCTATATATTTATTTTGCTTGTACAAAATAAAGAAATAATTTTTAACGATACAATAGCCATNTTATAATTAAAATTTAAATGAATCATTCTGTGTGCATCATATATTGATCTAACGATAGATATTGTCTCTTTGTTTCTTTAATTTGGTACGAACCTTACATTGAATCCACCAGTAGCATTATATAAACAGCATGAAAACCTTGCTGCAAAAGGTTTTTCATGGTGTTTTTCTTCTTCTAACCATAGACAAACTAGTGTTTCGGTTATTTAATTTAAGCTTCATCTTCCAAACCCGCTTCAAAATGGCAGAATGAAAATAATTAGAAAACATTCCGACCTTGACTTATGCAATTTTTAAGTTTAAAGAATACTTGACATCATTCATCTCGGGGGGGGGAATTCATAATTCTATACTTATATAATTCTATTATAAAATCTTTTATCTATTTGTCTTAGTAGTCAGAATTGCAATTAAAAACGAAAGCTTCACATTAGAAAATGATTTAGGTCAGAACTAATTGAATTTCTTGCTTATGGCAATCTGGTTTGGTACCTGACTGACATATAAATCGTCACTTTCCAGGTTATTTATCGCTTTATCGGTCCAATTTCTGACAAACTAACTGAATTTATTACGCACGCTACATAATTCGATCAGAAAGTAAAGTGAAATCTATGAATCGCCATCAATGAACGTTCGTCTGATCAAGATGATTACCAAGATTCTTTATTTCGTGTTAATGATAAGTAATTTGCAAGCTCAAGCCGTAAAATACCAAAGTAAATTAGCTTTTACATATGTAAAATTATAAATTTTCGCGAGAATTATCTTATTATTTTGATATCTTACAGATGAAACTGAAGAAAGATGTCCCGGAGTTTACGACTGTTTTCCGTCTGATGGAGATTCTTTTGATCCAGAAAGATTGCTTGGAGAAATGGAATTTTTGTCGACTTCTTCACGTTATACAACGTATTATCTTTACACTAGAAAAAATCCAGAACATTACCAAATTCTGATTGACGGAGACGTTGAAAATATAAAGCAATCAACATTTGATCCTCAAATTCCAACAAAAATGATCGTTCATGGTTATAGAAGAGACGCTTTTGATGATTGGGCTCAGGTAACTTTCATAAATTAACAATACTCTGATCGTTCTTAAGATAATTATCGTTAGAAACATTCAATTAACGATACTCCTTCCCCTGTGGATAGTAAGAGGGTCCTTTTACTCACACCCAACGTGGATTCGGCCTGATCCACAATAGGAGCCTGGTCGAACCCATGTTGTGGTGAGGGACAAGCCCTAATCGCATTTGAAAAATTTACATGGAGTTCCCTTTAGAACTCGCCTCCGGGTTCCTCAGAGAAAACAGACTGACTTAATAACCACTCCGCCACTCAGATGTCCAATAAATAACACTCTTATTTACTCTTATTATTATAATTTATAGATGTTGAAAGGCGCACTTTTAAAACACGGAGAATATAATGTGATTAGTGTTGATTGGAATAAAGCAGCAACGGCCTTCTATCCTTACGCTATCGTCAATACGTATAAAACTAGTAAAGAAATCGCTCATATGATTTCTTTTCTGAAGGTAAGATTCATTTTCTTTTTAATTTTTCCTAAAAAAATTCCATACTCTTACTATAAATACGAATTTTTAGGACGTAACTGGGTCAGGTTTAAGCCAATTTCATGTAATCGGTACGACTTTAGGGGGTCAGTTAGTGAGTTACGTTGGTAAGCATTTGGATGGATTAGGGAGAGTAACAAGTAAGTATATCTTACAGGTTCATAAATTTGCCTTTCTATCGAATCAAAATCAAACAACGAACTTTGATTTAGGTTTGGATCCTGCTGGTCCCGGTTATCTGAAGAATCCTCCAGAACATAGAATCGATATTGGAGATGCGTTATTTGTAGATATTATCCATACAAACGCAGAAGAGAGATTTAAAGGTAGAGTCGAACCTACATTTAAGGCCATTTTTCAGGATCGTTTCTTTTTGAAATGTATACAAAATAACCTCCAAACAACGGCCACTTTTTTATGTCTCTATCGGTGATCGTTGTTCAGAGGTTCGACTGTGTTAATTAAATTTACTAGTGGAATTAAATAGGTAAAATTTAATCTGTTTTTAAGGATATGGATACCCTTATCCTGTAGCTCATGTAGATTTTTATCCAAATGGTGGAGTCAATCAACCTGGTTGTCTAGATGGGATCATCGCTACTCTAACTAAAAGAGATTACGATAATTGCAAGTTTATTTCTATTTTTCGAGTTTAAAATAAATTTAAATTAATTATCTAACAATTAATTTTTTTTTCTTTACAGTTGCCAATGCTGCATTTTGTAGCCATAGATGGGCCAATTTTCTTTTTATAGACAGCATACTTAATCCTCAATGCCCTTACGTGGCTTATGCTTGTTCCGATTGGGACACATTCTTAGAAGGACGATGCGCCGATTGCGGAGATGATGGCCAAAATTGTGCCGTTTTGGGACTTCAATCGGATACTTATGCTCCTAGTAGAGATGTCAAAAATCCCAGAAAATACTTCTTAAAAACGAATAGTCAATGGCCATATTGTTGTAAGTAAAAGCAATAATTATTTAATAAGTTCCGATATATGTTTTTTGCTCTAGTCAGCAAAAAAAAACAAACATTTCCCAATTTAATATGAAAACATCTTTTTCACATTAATTTTACATGCAGTCATCATTAAAAACATTATTTTAATTGATAGAAACGTAAGATTTCATTATAAATATAACATCATCGGAATCTACAGTGTGGGTGGAAAGTAACTAGGCATTGATAAATCGCTATAATTTCTATATTTCTAGGCAGACGATAAAAATTATTTGATATGCACCTTATTAAATAGAAATACGGAGTCATATCTTAAAATTTAATGTAGGTACAAGCGCCATGCACTAACCACACACATGGGAGTCGGTTCTTTAAAAGTTGAGGTATGGAAAGCAGGACCTTGCTTTCACAAAACGGTGATGCATTGCTTAGAGTTAGAAAAGTTTTGATACTTTGGATTATGTAAGAGTTCGATTGGTCAACACCAAGGAAAAAATGTGTTTTCATACAGAGAGCAAGTAGTTCGCCTTGCATTAAATTATAAATAATTTTTTCAATATTCTGAGGTATGGAATTCCATACCTGCAAAAATGTGAGGTATGGAGTCTTCCATACCTTCCATAGTGGAAACGACACCCCTGACGACACGTTTTCTTCAGATCATGATGTAAATGGCCGGGAACTTCTCTGTGTGTCCACAACCGAACCTATGGTCATTTTAGCTTCGATTGATAATTTTCGATTGTTTTCAAACGAATTGTGGCTTGACATCCCTTTACGTAAGTCACCATCTTTGCACAGCAACCACTAATTTCCACACCTCAGCGTGCAGCAATCTGCGATCATTCCTGAATAAGTTGTCGGCCCCCCGTTTTTTTGGTCTCTTTCGGTCACTGCACTTTTGAAGCAGGATTATAAAATTCTATATAACAATTATTAATTGATGTATACACCAATAGAAATTTTATTATGATTGCATTATCATCATTAAAAAAAAATATGATTTCTCAATTCCTAGTTACCCTGTATATGTTTTTTTTTTTTTTAAATCATACTGTGTGTGATTTTTCAATACAGTATATCTAAAATCAATGGAAATGTATTTTAAATTATTTAATACATAAATTAATTTATTTAAGTAAATTGCTTATACTGAAACACTAGTCGCGAGTTTGTGCCTCATCCACAGGCTGGCAGCGTGGAGTTTCCGGATTTTATTCACGTGTTTGATACCTAATTAGAGGCCAGTTTCCCACATAAGTTCTCTTCCCAAAGAAATCCATTCCGATTGGATCGCGTTCTGTCACTCCGTGGAGTGCTGTGTGATGGCTTCGTGCAATCACTGATGATGGATCAATGGTTGCATCTAACAATAGTATAATTTTTTTTCCTTTGCTCTTTTTGCCTTGATGGCACTAAGAAAACCTTCACATTTAATCGCATCCATCGTGGATTGGAACAGGCGCAATGGGGCAGCCGGGTTTTCTAACAAAAACTTGCTTGAAATATGTAATTGTGAATAATTCTAATTTTCTAACTAGCTACTACCTACGTAATGCTGGGTATCGGTCAATTTTTATTACAAAGTCCCGATTTCTGGTTTTAAACTCATGGCAACCAAAAAAATATACGTAAAAAATTAAAAAATAAAAAAAATACAGGTAACCTGTAAATGCCACTTAACTGGACTATATAATTCAACTGATTTTTTAAAATAAAATACACACTTTTTTCTTATACGGTATGTACTGTATATATATTTCCTATACATTTCATTTAATCTTACGTTAATTGTTAGAAATTTTTAATATTAATTCATCTGAATAAACCGATAAACTATTGTCAGTGATACTTTCGATTATCTGTTTGTATTATTTATATACGGCAATGTAACACGTGGACGATCTGCCTAGGGGTTCCCAGGAGTTCTTTTTATGGGAAACTGGCTCCTATTTAGGTATTACTAACATGAAAAAAAATTACCAGTGTTTAATAGTTTTAGAAAGATTTCAGGTGATTTCAGTCATCTGGCCATTTGACAGAAATCTTCTGAAATCTCCTTCAAGAAGACAAATTAGTTTGATATTATCTAATTTTGCAATGTCGAGATTTAATGTGAAACAATACAACATTACAAACTGGAATAAGGAAATTTAGAAAGCATATTTTAGAGATCGTGTCAAATTGAATTTCGAGGAAAAAAATTGTATTTCGAAGATCACCCTAAGGAAAAGTGATGCTCCAAATAGCTATATGTATATATAGGTCAGGTATTCGAATATGTCGAACCGTATTGTCAAGGTATCGACTTTCCGATTGATGCAATTTTAATTCTATTGGTATTTTTCTAAATTTCTGAAAGAAGGATTATGTTCAATATATCCGTCGGCGTGGAAATTATATTGTAAAACAACTTGCTGAACGAAAAACTACCCATCTAGAATGGTATTTTGTCTAATTAATAATGCATTTTAATGATGTTTTAGGGGCGGCCCCACCCTACATCTTTTCCAGTCAGTCCCGTAGCTAGGAACAAATCATTGGGAGTTACAGGAGCAAACTATTTTTCAATCTTTTCCTAATAGTGGCACCTATAACCTGATAATGCTTTGCAGCACCCCTACTTGTTTATTAATGTAGCTATTGCATTTTTGTACTGCACGTAAAAATTGTTATGGAGCTGCTCAGCTTTATATTTACCAGTATCTCTGAAGTGTTGTGGCACCCATATTGAATACCACTGTGTTAACTTCAAACTCATCATCCACGATTGTGAATATAGCCATGGATTAAGATACAAATTATATTAACATACCTTAATGGCAATCATTAATGTTTTTGGTCATGTTAAATGACCTTAAGGGAGCTTTTGTATTATATTTTATACATTCTAAACGTAATGTTCTGTTTACATTTGTTCCTTTTGAACTTAATCTTACCTGAAGAATGTCATTTTGCTGCAAAATCAAGAAATGATAGTGTAATATATGACATGTTTATGGGGTTGGTGTGGGTGTTGGATCTCTAGAGGCTTTAGGAATAAAATTTAAACCAAAAAAGTTCGTCTTAAACACCTAGAAAACTTGAATTCCTACCAAAAGTTGTATCAGAATTGTAATGATTTAAATTTTCGATTGTACTGTTCAGATCATCCTCCCAGATCATCCCCAGTGCAAAGTCTTAGACCAATAATTGTAATTAGCATAAAGATTAAAATGCAATATTTATTTTACTTCTAATTTACTTTAATGCATAAAATCGGTTTATTTTAACATCTGATTCAAAACCCTTGTGAATTTCTAGTGTATCACTATCAAATTATTGTAAAATTAAGTAGAGAAGGTGAAACTCAGTACGGTTCCTTATATCTAACATTAGAAGGTCAATTTGATAAAGTTTCCTCCCAGTTAAGTAAGAAGTAAGTATGAAGTTCTCTACTAAAATTATATCATTTTCTACGATTTAATTTACCTTATTTTTATTTGTAGTATTGAAACATTTGTACCTGGTGAAACTTATGTCTACTTAGTTACAAGCCCCAAAGATATTGGCCCGGTCGAAACTGCTAAAATATTTTGGCTCCGTTCTTTATACAAAGTACCCGATACAAAGGATCCAATGTTGTTCGTGGAAGCTATTCAAGTTAAATCCATGTCGACACTCGAAAGGTAAATTTCAATATCAAAACTAATATCAATACTTAAATAATTTATTAAATATATATTATTTTATTTACGTAGAAACAATCAAATATCTTCTCTGTGTGGAAACGGTGGAGCGATACCCAATTTAGATCAAGTTCTGACAAAATGCTCTGAAAGGTTAGATTTACGTCCGAGTGATCCCATTCCCAGAAGAGTGAAATTTTTTGGAGAGAGAATTGGGAAACAGTACGAAAGAATTAAAAAACCAAACGGAAATCCATACGACTACAGATATTTTGTTCAACACTCCATAAATCATCAATGATTTACATCCTGCTCAATATATTAACCCAATATTTCTCAAACTTTTTAAGCCAAAAAACCAGTGAAATGTCTCAAAAAATCCTATGTACCACTAAGTTACTTAGGCCCAAGTTTTTTATTTAAACTTACTTGGATGTTACTAACATTTGGGCCTACTGTGCTGTTTATAAATGACACAGTAAGACCAAAATGCTGGTAATAAATCTAAAAGCATGTTTTGAATACGTATGAAAACGTAATTAATTTGGAAGTGTTAAATTATTACTGAACAAGGTTTGAATCTTTATTAAGTCTGTCTGCGGACCACCTGTCCCATCATCACAGACCATGGGTGGTCCGCAGACAACAGGTTGAGAAACGTTGCATTGACCTATTTAAAATTAATACTTTGTATCATATTTCCATTGTATACTTTATGCTAATAAAAAGAAAGTTTGGTTTATAATATCGTTTATAATTTTATGAAAAACTAGCTGTTACCCGCCACTTCATCCGCGCGGATTTTGCAAGCAAACCCCATTTATATTTAGTATTTCAACAACCATAGTACAGTAATTGTTATATAACACCTGCCGCTGAGAATGATGAGAATTGCCGAGAACCAAACGAACTATTTTCAATTTGATCAATTTTCTGGAACGTTTACAATCGTTCTATAATCGAACCAATATGCAATAACAAATTCGAATTTAAAACGGTTCGCACATTTGGTTAAAAAATCAAAATATATGAAAATAATTATAACAATGTCTGAAATGTTATCAATTTAAGGGAAAGTATGGAATCAATTTCAAAAGTCGTTCTTCAGGTTAAGCCTTAATGCTCTCCCTCTCCCCCAGCTGGGGAATTTCGAAAAATCCCTTCTTTGTGTGCATTCCCATGGCGTACCCTACTAATACTCAGTTAAAAACAAAAATTCGCATCTAAAATAGTAAGGATGCACCGATAAGCAAAATGGCAGATTACCGATTACCGATTAATCGGCCATGCATTATCGGCCGATACCGATTAATCGGCCATGCATTATCGGCCGATACCGATTAATCGGCCGATTAGTGTTAATAATTTATTACATTAATAGTGTGAGATCCTGAAGTTAATTATACAGTTAATTATAATGTGGAAAAAACCCATTTTTCTCCACCTGGTATTTCCATCTCCCTCGGGTCAGGTAAACAAGAGACGATCGAATATCTTCGCAAAATCAACAATCTCTTCCTTTGTTTCTAAAATAAATCTCAACACTTAATTGTTGACGCATGGAAACTTCGACACTGTTTAAAAAGCTGAAGTGTTTCTGTGTTTAACAGAAACAAAATATATTTCTTTAACCGCTGATATTTGGACAGCAACTACAAACAATTCTCCT